ACTTCTGAATAGTTACAGCCCTTTTCTGGGACAATCATCAGGACTCGTGAATAAAGTCTTAGGGAAGCTTCAAAGCGAATGGACTATTTCAGTAAGGACACATTGTGCCTCCATGATGACATCGTAGCTATATAAAGTGTCAGTTCTGGGGATCACTTTACAGACTAAGCAAAATGCTAACATTATATTTGTATGTATTTGTAGGGACTGGATCATTGTGCAGCAAAACTGGGCATTATCACATCTGGCTTCCTACTGCTCACACTAAAATACAAAGAAATGTAACCAATTCCAGGTAACCCATGTATGACAATGATCGTATAACACTCACTGGACAACGATAACTAATCCTGCCCTGATTTGACATTCCACCATTTTTATCTCTCTACATGTAAACCCCATTCAGATCCATTACACATGGAACATGATTGTTTTTCTCTACAAGTAAATACAATGTATATATATCTTCAGTATAACCTTGATTTTGCTCATTGTACAGTGCTATAATAATAATTTCAGCCGGCATTCCAAGAGAACCTAAATTGTTCCTTTCCTATAAATGACAAATGGTTTTATGGATTGTGTGTGCTCAAACGGCCCCTTCTCACCCACCCAACAGGAGCCAGCAGGATGGTGATTTTTATAGATTTTATTGTTTTTCTAGATTAACAGCAGCATATGAAAATCACAGCCAAAGCAGTTCTTTAAAAAGGTCTGTCATTTATTCTCTCTGAAAAGTGGCTGTGCATTGTGTAAGGAAACCTAGGATATCCAATCCTCATTCGGTAGTTTCCTCCCGAAGCACCAGAGCATCAGTGATTATAGCTCTCCGTTCGGTAGTTGAAATAAACAAACTTCATACGAATACAATAGCTTTACAAGATGATTCCCTTAATAAAGCATACGAATCCCCAAACATCAGCCGAAGTCTAGAAGAAGGGTGCAACAGAACTGGCTTTTATGCAAGTCCCCATGCAAGGGGACATCCCACAGGGAGGGACAAGGTACATCCAATCATTTACAGGAAAAACGTAAAACACTCCCAGCACAAACATACAATTCCCTCCCCTAGTCCTGGAGATAATAAAGTCTGATAAAGTAATAACTTGATTATCTCCAGGCAGAAAAATTAGTTTTCCCGAATATTCCGAACACCCTTTTAGGCATATGGTATCCCCCCCAAACAATATGTCCCCTGATATCCCCGATCTAGGTGACCAACATATTCAAATTTCACCCAGATCTGTTCAGGGGTTCTCAAACCGCAAGGTGGCTGCCCAAAATAGTTCCATGAGTTTGGGTAGTTTTGCAGGTCTATTTCTTTAGGTAGCAAAAACCGAATAATCCCCTGAGTGGTTTCCCCGAGCTCTTAGCAGCGATTGTTCCCCTCATTCGAATGAACAAAAGTACCGAACAGTGCTCTTCTAGCTGTTCGGGAAATAAAGATCCAGCATCCGTTTGTTGAAACCAGTGTTCGTAAAGTCGAGTGTCCGATTTATAGTTCCAGACACTCGACGACCAAGTCTTGCTGCCTTTGTTCGCATTAAAAAAATATGGCCGCCGTTTTCTCAGCCACGTGGCGTTCAGTAGTACGATCGCCGGCCGCACAGGTAGAGGGTTCAATTGAGGCGTTCTTTGAAGTTTAACGAACCAGGGGGGTGGTCTCTGTTTGGTAGTTACATCTACCGAATGAACAGGGAAGAAATATTGGACATAAGAGGGATTTCTTCACACATTGCATAGGTGCGAATTCTGTCTTCATAGAAGACATGACAAAGGAACCACTTCAAAGTATTAACAATTCAGTCAACATGTATACATGGATAGAAAGACCATGTACATATATAGACAGATCTATACGATTAAGATATATTTACAAACACCCATTCTTTTTCACACTCTGTATTCCCACATTTGCTGGAGGGAGCCACTGATCTGCAAGGACGGGCTCATCTCTGGGGGTCTGTGCCTAGGGCAGGGATTAAGATCACAAAGATGGTGCCTACCTAGAACCACTCCCTTTATAACTCGACTAAATCTATTTACACTGCAGATGGGAGTACTATAAAAATACACCACGTGGGCAGCTTGAGGTGGGGATGGAAGTACTATACAAATGGTTGTAATGTTATTGAGAATCGCTGCTTTTCTGGTTAGAAAAATTACACGATTAGAGCAATAGTAATGTAAGATTTTTGTTTTAAGGTGATCAGCTCTGTGCTGGGGAAAAAAGGATCCAGAATTCAGGCTGATGGGTGGAAAATCTAACTTTACGACAGGGATCGTTGCAGATAAAACTCAGAGCGTGCCAGAGGCAAGATGCAAAGTGTGAGTGTCACAGGATTAAGCTCTTTTTTCTTGATTGGGCGTAATGGGGGCAATGTAAGATTTCTGCTTTGGAACATGTGAAAAGTCTGCTTTTTATGTAACTGCCTTCTTTTCATTTATTCCAAAGCCCTTGCTATCTCTGGGTTATACCTGTATCATGCCTTACCAATAGACAGACCATGGGATTTCCCAGCCTCCTCTTCTACTGAGAATAGACACCATCACTAAGGCGGATCTTTGACACTATGCTTTAATACAGTTTGGAGAATGGTTCAGTGGGAGTTAAATTAATGGTTAAGTCTTGCTTCGAGGACTGGTCCAGAAGACATTACTGAAGTTTATCTGGTGGTCAAGTCATTTTCTTTCTCCCCCTTTCCCCACAGACTTTACGTGGGCACCTTGCTTTTAACTCTGTCATGGGGTGGGTAATGTGTTTAAATCCTGTTCTAATCAGAGTTTAATCCTGTCATGTAGAGATCTGGTCATTATGCATAAAGGGCAGCAGATTAATGTTCTGAGACACGGCTGCAGCATTAGTGATTAGTTGCGGTGTGGAAAGAAAAAGGGCCCCCAGCTCTGCTCACAACACACCGGAGAGTGGGAGATCACAGCTTGATGTAGTGATCCACTCCTAGTAGTTCTCAGTAGACATTTTATAAAGTTCTGCTACATTTGTATGTGATATCATGGCGGGAGGGGGACTGTTCACAAGTGAACCGATTGTGTTTCTTTGGGTCCGTTCTCCGTAAACATGCACCGTTAGTACATGGAAAGGATAACCATAAAAAAACATTAATAAAACCTGAAGCGCTGTTTATTGCTGGCCTTTTCTTTGATGTTCTTGAGCATACAATAGCCACTAATCATCCACTTTCGAGGACACAATCCATTATCAGAACGGTATTTTTCAGGGATCTTCAAAGGTAAACCAGCGCTCTCGTCCATCGTGCTGGGTCAGTTTGTGTGTAGTTTGATTGCTAATGTGGTTAGATGTTGGGTAATAGATGTACAAGGATGTCATTACAGGTGTGGCCAGGATAGTGGCGGCTGAACACTGCCTATTTGGTATGCAAGGAAATCTGCAATTGCGTAGCCAATAGGAGGCTGTGCATTCCTTCAGGGAAGATGTGCTACCACAATGTCAAGCAACAGAGTACAGGGCTCAAAATATCTCTTGAAATAAACAATGCAGGTACCACAGCTTTGGAGATGGGCTGAACATTTATCCATGTATTGTGACAAACACTTGCGGCAAGGTGATAGATGAAGGGAGCAGTTTCTGGGATGGTAAGGCCAACCAACACGATGGTCTGCTGTTCCTCCAAGGTTCTGTAGTATCCAAAGAACATCTTGTCCTTACAGAAACCAACAGGGTGTAGGCACTCAAGTAAAAAAAATAATCAAACAAAAGAAAATAAAACAAAAAGACAGCCTTCTATGGTGGGCATTAAAATGGACCTTGACAGCTCCCACTCTTGGTAGGACACATGTACGGGTCTCTAGGCTTTGGCCTTTCTCCTCGCCCCATCAGGATCATTTGGCAGTGGGTAAGTGAGGAGACCGAGGCCTGGATAACATATTTCAGTGCCGCAGGTTGCAAATGAGATAAGATGGAGGATGAAAGGGTCTGTGCATCTAGCTCTGACCCTACCTGCTCGTTATGGACCATTTGTTCTTATTCTGGAGTTCTGTAGCTTTTATTCTCAAGGCCTCCACATCAGTCCAGCGTTGGGAAACTAGGATGCTAACAGTGTCATTAGGAGAAGAGACACTGCCACTGTGAGATGCAAATGTTCCCTTTTGGGACTTGTTCCACTGATGCTTTTCTCTAATTTGGGGATCTCAAGCTTGAAGTTATCTGAAAGGAAGGAAACAGATTGTTAGTTACTGAGATACATGGAGTGAAGCGGCTGGGTGTAACTGGAAAAGATCAATTTGGCATACTAACTTCAGAACAGATTCTGCTAGAGTAAAAATTACCACCACCACCTATGTGGTAGACCAGGGGTAGGCAACCTACGGCACTAGTGCCATGCATGGCACTCGAGGTGTCTTTCCACGGCACTCAAGGCTGCTAGAGCCAAACAGGCTCTGGCCTATCAGGAGTCCCAGTAAAACTTCAGATATCTGCTAATATGAAGAGGTGGTGAAGGACAAGCCTCAATTTATGCATTGTAGCACGTAGAGGAAGTGATCTCAGAGCACTTCATTCCAGCACTTGTGAATGGAAATCCACACAGTATTAGAGCAGCTCGCAGTTGTTGCAGCTCCTGTCCTTGACCTGTACCTGGCTGGCCTGGTCCCCACTGGAACCCAGGGAAGCCACCCACACTGCTTGATATACACAGAAATGCAGAATAACCCTCCCCTCATACAAATAATATGGACAGCCCACACACAAACATATACACAATCCGCACAAACTAAACACCACTGACAATCCACATACATGCACACAACCCCACATGCAGTCTCTTACATGCAATACCCCCAAACAGCCCCCACACACTACCAAACACACAATGTGACATATCCATCCACACACACAATTCCACAAGCAGCCCCCATTCATATGTATCCTACACATAAACTACTCATGAACATATACAATATAATAGCTCATATACACACAAATACGATACAAAGCAATTACAGTAAAAATAACACAAGCAGAATACGGCAGCATACACACCTCAATTAAAAAAAAAAAAAATAGGACCGGCACGCTACGGGACATCACAATCCTATATCGGCACAGTGCTGCTAAAAGGTTGCCTACCCCTGTGGTAGACCTTTCCTCGACGTTCAGCAAAAGTGGAAATCTGAAAGCATCTCCACTCTTGTTCCATACAGTTTTGACCCTCTGAGCTTATTACAGCCAAGTAACTTCTTTATTAAAAGAATCTAAGAAGAGACTAAGACTATGAGCTATTCGTGCAGGGACCAGCTGATAGCATCCTCTAGGTTGCATGCAATATAGTGCAACCCACAGAAAGCCAGTTTCGGCAGTCACCCTCCAGGAGACCATGCAGGGAAAACCGAAACAATCCAGTAGAATTGCCTGAGTGCACCGAAACAGGTCTTATATGGATCTAATTGAAACCTATGTAGAATAAATGGATAATATCCCTGAGCTAAGAACATCTATGAACATTCTTCATTTCAGTGGGAACCAGAACCAGACAGGATGATATTGGTCACAGGTCAACTGAAAGGAAGAGCCACATTCAGAATTTTGCTGATCACAAGTCTACGTGGTCTCAAAACAGAATTATTACAGAACCAAACATAACACCCTAAACCTTCCCGACATGGCATCACAAAAGATTAAGAAGCAAGCAGAAAAAAACGACTGCGCTTCTTCACGACCCGGGCATCGACATCAAAAACTCTGGGCCTAGCAGAAAAGGAACAAGATGGCGACTGAGGTAATGACACACTGCCACTGCAAACCTCCCCAGGGGCGCAAAACTTACCAGTGACCCAGGACTTCTTTCAGAAGTGCCTAGACAACATGTCCAGTAAGATCCTGGAAACCCTGCAAGGCACACTGAGAGAAATGAAACGAGAGATGCAGGAGCTGGGGGATAGGACGGCACATATGGAAAACAGCATGGAGGAACAAACCACAGCAAACAACGAAATGGCAGAACAGGTGAAAGATCTGCAACAGCAACTAGACCTCACACAGAGGAAGGTCATGAACCTAGAGGACTGCTCTCGACGCCAAAATCTCTGCATCAGGGAAGGTCATGGACCTAGAGGAGGTGAGGCAGCAGGACCTACATGAGTACCTAATAGGTACTTTAAAGCACTAGCACCGGACACACCAGCAGACATTCTGTTGCTGGATAGATACCACAGGGTGCAAAAACTGGCGTTTCTACCACAAGACACCCCCAGAGATGTGCTTACACATCTACACTACTTCGATGCTAAGGAAGCACTACTCCAAGCAACAAGTGCAGGTGGAGAGCTCCCACAGAAGTACAAGAACATTAAAATGTTCGGAGACCTTTCCGCAGCCACGTTGCAGAAACGAAAGGAATTCAGGGAAACAACGGAAGCCCTCCGCTATAACAATATACAGTACAGATGGGGACTTCCAATCCGTCTCCTAAGCAGAAGAAATGGCACGGTGACTACAGCGAACACACCGGAGGAAGGCTGCAAGCTGCTGCGCAGCTGGAACGTTATGCCAAATCCGGACAGGAAAGATACAACCACAGCGCTCAGAAGGCCGCCAGAATGTAAAGTCCAAAAAATGAACTGGCACATAGACACTTTTCCTTCTACTGATCCCACCATGGCAGCAACTGTAGCCTAGCAGACATCAAGGCGCAAGTATTCCAAGCACTTTGTCTCATTATGTACACTCTGGACCACAAACACAACACACACAAAAGAGCCATGAAGGCTGGACGAATACAAAGATCACAAACACCTCCAGACACAAACTTCACACACACACACAAACAAAATAATGATTTAAAAAAAAAAAAAAAAAACAGAAAACAAAACACAAAGTCGTAGACACACGCCAGTCAACCTCACGCCACAGCCTTAGCATAACACGCATGAAAATATCGATGGAATGAATCGGGCACTATGTGTGCAACCAACCGCCCTACACCCTAGAAGTCTATATAGTAACCAAGCTCACACCTTGCACTACCACTACCACGGTAGTGCAATACCCTTCAGTGGGAAATGTATACTCACATGTTTCTTAATGTATACATAGTTTTGTTTTATTCAAATGTTATGAATGTTGTTTGTATCACTAACACCGTCCTGCTCCCTACCCTCCCAACCCCTACCCCAGGCACAGCATAGCCCCGCAGTGAGGACCACGGGGGCAGCAAACGCATACCACCATGACGACACACACAATGACGGAAATACCCAGTACCTTTTATATACTTTACAATAGAATATGAAAATATATAGCCACGATGTTAAGGAGTTGAACACCCCAGTAAAGAGAGATTGCCTAACCAGAGATCTGCGCAAAACACGCCCAGACATAGTATGTTTACAGGAAACACACTTTAAACAGGCGTCCAACCTAGCACAAGCACAGTACCCAGTCCAGTACCATAGCACAGCCACATCTAAAACTAAAGGTGTATCTATACTGATCAGCAAAGACGTGTCCTTTAAGCTCCTGTACGAAGCCATAGACACACAGGGGAGGTACATAATTTTGACCTGTGAGTTCAATAACTTAGAACACACTATTGTCAACATTTACGCACCAAATGTCAATCAGAGAAACTTCCTGCACAAAATCATAACACGCCTCACGCAAGTGCAGAGGGGTGTCACGATCATGTGCGGAGACTTGAACCACATACTAGACCCCAAATGACACTCGACAGTATGACCAAACACGCCCAGAAACACAACCCTCACACAAGAATGCAAACCCTGAGTCCGCCTACTTAGCGAACATGACCTATATGATGCATAGAGGGTACTACATCCAGAGGAAATGGATTATACATTTTTCTCCCAGGTCCACAACACATACTCCCGGATAGACGGGTTCTATATAAAAGGTACATTTCTCAACCAACTAACATCTTGCTCGATAGGCACCATTACATGGTCTAACCATGCCCCAATCACTCTTGAACTGCAAGATGCATATGACTACAAACACCGAAGCCCGTGGACACTGAACGAGACCCTCTTGCATGACTCAATTCTGTGAGGACCTAGCCACGGACATGCACCTTTAGTTTACAAACAATCAGACACCTGGAATAACGCCGGAAACCTTATGGCAGGCACACAAGCCGGCTATTAGGGGATTTCTCATAGGAAAAGCAAGCGCACTAACACGAAAGTCCCAAACAAAAAGCTGGCTAAAAACGTACACTC